CACGAGCATATATCTGTGTTTTCAAAGAAACTTAAAGAAAAGTAAATTAGGACTTTTCATTGCTGTAGGGATTTGTGTTAAATGCATAAACACTTACACATATACTCGTGCATACATATGTATTTAAGATAACATACATGCAAGTATATACATACCAAATGTACGCATAGATATTTTCTTGTGTGTCTGTATTAAATTAAACACTCGTACCATCGCATTTTTGGTGAATAAAACTATAAACATAAGATGTACGTAAGCATATACATAGGAGTACATACGTACACATATTGTACATACTGTACATCTTTCTTGCTGAATTCTGAAATCTGAAATGTGAAATCTGCAATCTCATTATTTTTCATTTAAACGTCGTGCCTTGCCTGACAGATTTATAATGTTGCATTAAAATGTTGCACAGTGAAGCTCCACAATCACTTTTCAACGCCCTCACACCCACACACCCACACACCCAGACACCCGCAAAAAAGCATATGTACATTGCAACAAATTCTGTTATGTATTGTTTCGTGTCTTTTTATATGTATTTGTGTGCTCCGCTCCTGCAAATTAATTTACTTTGTATATAAAATAAATGCAACAAAACTTTGATAAATCATCGTTTAGTTCGCCTTTAATTGCATCTCGAGAGTGGAATCTTTATACATTTTTTGAAGAAAAAAAAACAAAGTTTATCACCGAAAGAGATAATCATCATTTTTCTTCTTTTTTTTGCAATTAATCTGGAAGAAAAGTGAAATAAGCATTCGGATGTTGCATTGGCAAAGGTATGACTTAATCTCTTTTCTGCCTTCTCAGTTCGTAGAAGGACGAGTAAAGAAAGAGACTCTACTTTTTATAAACTAAATTCTCGAAACGTCCAATAAATGTCTGCTGACAGTGATATTTGTGACCGCAGCAATTTCAGTATATTAATATGTCCAAATGATGGGTCTCCATTTCCCGCAAACTAGCATTGCCTTTGTACTTACATAGTTAATCGCATTCAAGATATTGTTATAAAATTTTAGTGCATCTTCGTAATCCGCAGTGATTCAAGCTCTCATTGGACGACATGTTCGAAGATTTCCAACGTTTTTCAGGATGAACTATCTAAACTGTTTTTAATGTATTGGGATGTTAATTTAGTAGTCAGAACTAGCCGATTTATGCCAAATATGCACGGTTTTGCTCGATAATTTTCTGCCATTTCGAAGGTAAAATCATTATGCGGCTCTCATAGAATTGAAATAATCAATTTTCACAACCTTTTCTCTAGAGAAAAGAAGAAAGAGAAGCGTCGAAGCGTCCGGCAAGTCACTATCGATGTGTGCTTCTGGGTGAACGCTTTCGTCAAACGGTCCAATTGCTAACTGTACAGGTCCGAATTAAGAGTTTAACCGTAGGGGAACAGCTTATAATTCCTTGCCAATCTCACTAAACAAATAACGAAACCTTCCTAGCGATCAAACCTAGCTTGAAAGCCATTTGTGCCGGCTTACTGCCTTTCGACCACGACGGTAACCATTTCCAGTTGACGTTGCTGTAAGAAATCTACTGTTACCGTCCTTTTCAGAACTGGTCGATTTTGCTACGATTCAGCAGCTATTCACCGATGGAAATTCGTCCCATGAGATTTTTCTTCCTTAACTCGTACATCGAAACGAAACCAAAATTTAGCATAACACTATTAACATTTTCAGCTGCCTGACTTGCGTTTTCGCATTGAAAAATACAGCATATTTTCTCTTTGCTGGTGTCCTTTTTTGACGTGCGCTCAAACACTACCAGAGCAATCCGATCAAAGTTATAGAACGCGAGATTTGTAGCTTCTTCGTTAACCACCCGATTTTATGATTTTAATGAGATAATTTTTTAAACTGAGAACTTGAAGTTTTCGTGTTAAAAAACGGATAGTTAAATAAAGTTGGTTCCGTGGCGTCAACCTCGTTTTCTTTATACCTTAATATTCATGTATGCGAAATATGACAGCAAACCAGAATATATTTTTATACATTTTTTATTGAAACACGCGCGGCTTCTTCCTTGCTTTTCTCTCTTCTATTGTCATCTCATTTTCTGCTCACAGCACCATCCATTTTTGCCGAGAATTTCGAGAAACAAAACTGTTCGTGCATACATGATGTGTCGAAAAATTGCAGCCATATTTTATTGACTTTTTACCATCCATCCTTTGCCATCTTTACGGTTACAAGTGCACGCTTATTCTGACACCTTCACACGGTCTGTATGTGCTTTAGACCTAGACCGCAATCATCTCAGGACTTGAGTACCTCATTGCGGCATGCAATTTGTCTTCAAGCTCAAGCGTGCGTACCACAATCATTTTCAAAGGGAACCCGAAATGCTTGACAGTTAGTTATGACAAAGAGTTTTGAGGGGAAATATTCATATCTGCACTTATTTTTTTGCATTTCAAATTGCATATTAATCACATACCACTGATCCGTTTCAGTTGTACTTGAAAAATTCACTAACATTACTTGGGTTTCGTTTCTTAGGAAAGAACAATGCGGAAGACTAAATTGTTTAGTTGAAATATTTTACAATTTATGTTTTGCAATGTTTCATGTTAAGCTTTATTTTTTATTATTATTTTATTTATTTTTTAAACCTGCAATTTTTATTCAACACTTTTTGAAATGTGCCGGCAATAAAAAGTATTTCAAGTGCAGCCAAAGTTTAGCGAAGACCAGACCGAAATAATAAAATAAATAGTGAAATTGATTCATAGGAAAGTAAACATTTTTAAATTTTTAATTTTATTGAGATTAAAATGAATATGGTAATAAGTTAATCCCGCTTGCCGCCAGCAAATAAAAAAGTCCACCGAATGGAAAGCAATTCAACGTATTTTTTTTATAACTTTCCATGTCAGTTTGTTGCGGCTGTAAATAAGAACAACGGTCACTTCGCCTTAGGCTCACCGCGCCATATTTACAGTATTTACATACTCATATGTATGTACATGTACATGTGTTTCCAAATATGCTATGAGCATAAGTATTTATTTATTTATGCGCTGGGAAAAAATAACGCGGATTTTACTTCAATTCCTTTCTAGGCCATATTTTATTTGAAACTCATCTTTTGTTTCTACCTTTCTTCTGTTACTTCTGCCACTTCTTCGTCTTCCTTTTTCAGCTATTAAATTGGATTATTGTGGATTTCGAAACGGACTGCAATCGAAAATTTACGAGCAGTTACCAACAGTCTGGCCTGGCGCAAAGTGCATGCTCACAATACATTTGTATGTACATATGTACATATGTACATACCAGTGTGGTTTGTGCCGTGTATTTGTATACATGAACGTTGCGTGAAGAATTTTATTTATTCTGCGTGCGAGTTCATATAAATGTATGCATATGTAATTTCTTTTCGACTTAAGTATTTATATAAGCGCATACAAATATATGTACGTGATGCCTTTGAAGTAATTTATTTGTATATTTTTAAATTATGAGGCACTTATCCATGTGCACTTGAAAATCTTTCATCCAGCTCGCCTTCAACCACAATTCCAGCGCTGCTCCACCATTTTTCGCGCATTCATTATAAAAAAAAGCCCGTTTATTACGCTTACATTCATCTTTTGTCGATTTTTCAAGTGAAATTACTTTTTTGTGCGCTTTCGTTTTCCATTTTACTCGGTGTTGTTACTTAAATGCGTAAATTATTAAGGCAAATAAAGATATATTATTATTATCCCAGTCATTTGGTTTCCATTTTAATTAGAGTTGTTGCTGCGGCAAAAAAAAAAAGTTTAAATAAACATCGAAATAAATATGGAAGTTATTTATTGTTGTAATTTGTGATGAGTATCTGTATGCTGTCGTACACGTATGCAGAAATACAGAAATTCTTGCCATTAATTTTTTCTCAATATAAAAATATTAACATAAAATAAAAATATAAAAAAATTTGCTCAAAAAGGATATGGAATAAGGCTTTAATTCGAGTACATTTCGTAACAGAAATTTTAATAATAAATTTACAGAGAGCTTGATTTCACTACTGTATTTCTATATCGCACTCACTTTCTTAAAAAAGTATGCATTTGAGTATTTTATACAGCGCATATATTATACATATTATTGTATATAATGTTATTTTATAATTGGCGCTTCATATCGAAAGCGATTTCGTACAGCACAGGCAGCCGCAAGACCCAACAAGTTGATAGTGCAAACCACATTTGGAATGTTAGATTTGAACTTCTAGTCTGACCAACATCAAAAATTAGGGAAAATAAATTTGAATAAAAAACGAAATTAATTTCTCAATAGCATTCGCCCCCCGGCAGGAAATGTCAAGCGTTCCGAGTTTATTTCTGACATGGAAATCAAAGCTATGCCACAATAAAAGCCTAATAAAAAATCATCAGCAGAGGAGGCGGCTTAGTATGAACGCACATCACAAATCATTAAAATCGCTTCAGCGGTCACAAAGCGACGACTATATCATATATACAGCGCATACTTTAATATTTTAAATAATAATTTGTCAAAACATCTGAAATTTATATGAACTCATTTATTAATTACAGTAGCTCTGTAATATCTCAGAAAATAAAATAATAATAAATTAATTTTGAAAAAAAAAACTTTCGTATCTTATACTGCTTTTCATACATACAATATTTCACATACGTGTATATTTCATATCTATTTCTTTGTGCATTTTGGTTTATGTATTGTTTGTATTTGTTGTAGTTGTATACTATTTTAAAATGCTCATAATTTCTCTTGAATCATTTTCTTCAGTTGTACAATATAATTTGCATGTTCTAATTTATAAAACTTTTTAAAATCAATGTGTTTGCATTGGGTGATGGTTGAGTGATAATTATTGTTGTAATTGGAATAATTAAATGCAAGCGATGAATTTGTATATTTGAAATTGTGATTTACATAATTTACTAAAGAATATATTTCTGCTTTTGTTTGTTTTCCTTTTTCGCTCTCGCTTTTGAATCTCAGTGGATAAACATCCAGCTGGTAATGCGACAAGCGCCGAAGGCACCATCATCTCACCGCAAACTGATTCGAGTTACCTAGCATTAGCGATAATCGGCTCACTAGTCGGCTTTGGGCTGGTGACAGGTGTGGTAAGTGTGAACAAGTAAATAAGCTGCGACACAGTTTGGGAATTATTGGCTTAACGAATAGCCAATGTCGACATAAAAAATTTATATATTTCTTTTCTCCCCCACCCCTTCACGATGTGCCACAGATACTTTGGGTCGTTTATCGTCATTGCAGCAGGCGTCCCACCTCAATGAACTTTGAAAATCCGGTGTACCGTAAAACCACGGAGGATCACTTCAGTTTGGAAAAGAACAATCTGCCAACAACGCGCATGTACCCCAGCACGGTGGATGAAGAGGTAAGCGCGCCATGCATTAACAATTTCAATTATATGAAATTTTAAATTAAAAAGGATGTGCAACCCTTAAACAATCCAACTAACAAACCACTTATGCACTAAATTAAATAAATTATAGTATTTAAAGCTAATTAAATACTTAAGAAATTATTGAGATAAGTTTGGAAATATTTTTAAATAAGTAATTAGTGTTAGTTCTTAAAATTAGTCAATAGACGATATCAAGTAAAGTTCAATGAAAATAACGCAAAGAATAAAATAAACGTAAACACAAAGTTAGCATTGTTTATGATAAGAATAAGGAAATAATTATAATAATAATTAATATACACAGCGGCATGTTAGTGAAGTCAGATCAAATTTAATAGTGAAAGTTTTGAATATTTCGTAATAACTTAATTATCGTAATGTAAATAGTACTCGTTACACCCAACCTACATTCGTCTTAATAGTAAAATTAATTGAAAACTTTACTTTCAAAAACTCCCCCATAAAATAGTGAATAATCCAACCAAAATACGTAGTGTAAAAAGTATGAGCAAAAATTATATAACACATATTTATGTAAATAATAATAATGCCATGCCGAAATTAGTAGATAACCACAACCTTAACCAAGCAAAACCATACATACATCAACAAACAGCTAATCGACACCTAATGGATTTCTATCTATTTCTAGCTGCATTTTTCGCAGAGAAGGCTGTTCGCGAAGTATTGAAAAATAAATTCATTAATTAAATTATATCCTAATTGCGAGCGTAAAAAATATACTCACGCGCAGAAATGAAGCACTCATTAATAACTAAATAACTAAAAATTTGAAAAACAAAAATCCGAAGAAAATAAGAATTCATTTCAAACGAAAAAAAAACACATTTATGTATGAAAATAATTTTACATTAGTTTTTTATATATATTATATATTTTGATTGCGAAAATGAAAGAAATAAATTAAATATAAAAAATTTAAGATTAAATTAAATCAACAAATATCTTATATTTTTATAGTGTGAATTCTACGTATTTTTATAAATAGAATATTTTAAAGCAAAATTTTCTTTAATTTATTTACCATATTTATATCCCGTTATGTTTAGTACATCACTTTTTTCAAATTATTAGCACAAATAGCTTTTTTATATATTTAAATACATACATAAGGAATTGTATAGGTACCCATATTACGTTATTACTTTTGAATAGTAATAATTACAGGCAATTGACTCATTTGTACGACAAAGAGCATGTAGCGTAAATGATTTCATTTGACGATCATTGAGTTATAAAACTTCTGAAATAAGATTTAAATGCCGACTGTTTTCCAAAGTCCCATTTCTTTCAGCTCACGACGAATAATAAAGTTCTCTCTTTTAGTTATTCTTTAAGAGCAATCTTTAAACTACTTTTAGCCCCTCATTTCCTACCTTCAATATTTTACGTAATCATTTTTAATATTTTCAATGCTCCTTATTCTCCAAATTCCAGTTTTATATGATTTTTCTGCATTTGTAATTTAATTAAAAGTCGTTTAGGAAATGATTAAATAGCGAGGTCTTAGTGCAACCAAATGTAGCTAATTTCCTTCCATTACATTACTCTTGAAATCATTTATTCTCATTATTCTAAATGTTTATATTTATATAAGCACTTATATCGCTACATTTCCTCATATATATTTTCTTGTGTATGCCATTCAATTGAGAAATTCGGAAAAATTAAAAAATTTAATTAGTAAAAAATTAAAAAAAATAAATAAATAAATTCATAAAGTGTACACATATACATGAGAATGTAATGAAGTAATTAGCATAAACTATTATTAAAATAAAAAACACTAAAAATATTACCTATATATAATCTATAAAAGATACTTAGTAGTAAAATTGAACTTTGGTGTAAGTATTTAGCTATTAAGTACTTAAGCATTTTAATTGAATAATGAGAAAAACCAAAAAACCATAAATCATAAATAAATTAACCAATATTTCCATACATAAATCATTAGTACTCAAACACGTACCTACACATACAATATCAAATATTACGCCAACCAACAAACAAACGCAACAACAACACCTTAAAACAATAAAAACAAAATTAAAAACAATCCAACACGTGTTGAGTTGTACAAAACCTCTGAGATCAACAAACTGAAAAATAGAAAATTTTTTAAACAATGTAAAATTAATTCAATACCCAACTCAGTCATATCATTGTGTAATATCAACGAACAAATTATTTGTCACCCAATGTCCATATTTGCTTGTTTAGTCGTTTTTACTTATACGGAGAGAGCTTTCTCATTTGCCCGAAATTTGGTAAAATCCTACGCTTGCTTGGATATTTCACGCTACAAACGCTCAAAGTTTGGATGTATCAGATTTGAAATGATAAAGACTATTTTCAGTACACCAGTGCGTATACGTAACATTATAAAAATTAAGCGGCAACATATGCTCAAAAAAAATTTAAAGAGAGGTGATGATTGATTAAAAAAAAAACAGCATATGGGTTTAATGTACTTGATTCCATTTTTAATAAATATTATTTGGTTTGGTTATATTTTGGTATAGGTTAAAATGATAAAAAGCAAACCTTTTGTAAAAACAAGTATTTCCTTAGATTTTAAATAAATTGTTTATCTATTTTTAGTTGCTTAAAATAATTAAAACTATCATAATTGGCGGAATGTAAAAAATCAGCACCTCCTTCACTCTTTAATGCGTATTTCCAATTTATTATCACTCTAGTCGAACTAACTGAGCTGTCAAGCGTGAAAACATCAAAAGGCAAGCAAAACAAATTAAAAGTAAAGCAGGAGTTTTTAATCACTTACAGTACACTAGTAGTTTTTAAAGAAAAAACAAACAATCCAACATTGAAAGCATTGGCGCACTAACACATAAACCCGAAGAAATAATACTTTTTCATGTATAATAAAAAGCAAATAATATTAATGGTAATATTATAAACCAGCCAAGGGTTCATTTTTCCAGCAACAGAAATAACATACATACATTTTTTCTGAAATTTAAAAGTAAACAATGCATATACACACATATTTTTGCCCAGAAAGAGAAAATATGTTAAAACGTTGTGTATAAATATTAATTGCATAACACCAGGCATTTTTCTGCTTTCGAAAATAATACATTACACATAAAAGGACACCACACTTAATTAGGGATGAGCGGCTTAACCCGCAATGTAACATTTTACGCAAATGTGTTAAACGCGCGATTGAATGAGCTTCGCAAGTGCAGGCTGTGGCATTTTGCAATTAATTCTAATCTCTACAAAAGTCAAGAAACTTGCCGCATTGGAAAAATAAAAGTATACCATTTAGTAAAGAAAAGATGTATGGGTAATATTTTGACTTGTTCTGAAAAGAAGTTTATTTCGCATCAACTTAACCGGCTTTCTAATGAATGAGACGAATTAATCTGTTAATAGCTGAAAAATGAAAAAAAGATTAACCTGCAAATTATTTCAGTATCACTCATATTAATGAAAATGTCATTCACTGTCATACGATCAGTATTTGCCGCACACGCTTATACACTTGGCATTAAACAAATGAGTCTAATTTAAGTTGTCTTTTTTTGCACTCATAAAACATAAATTTCTCTAAACTAAATACCATAAGGGCAAATATCAACAACACAAATCAAAAAGAGTTGTATATACTCTTATAAAAATATTTAACAGTAAACACTTTCATAAACTTCAACACACATTTATCCATAAAAATCTCCCGAAAGTCATACAACAATGCCTTTCTCGTAATACCGAAACCCATTCGCTTGAAAACACGTCATCGTACCACATTTGGCATTTTTTTTTTCGATTTTGGTTCGTGCATTGCTTTCTCTTCTCTTTTTCTCTCTATCTCTATGTCTCTCTCTCTTTTTGCGAAATATTTATAAGCAGTTTGCGCAAAGTGAGATATGAGCGTATCTCGCTCATTACATTACATGCATTTCCATATTGCCACTCATAAGGGAACAACAACAACAATTGCATTTGCTTCGAAAAATATTAAGCCTCTGAATTTTTTTAACTTAATTTGGCGAGTTAAAGCGGCATTAGTAAAAAGCGGTAAGTACTTTCAAAGAAAAAAAAAAACAAATTAAGAACAAAATATCCTTTTGAATGAATAAACACACACAGCAAAAAAAAAAAACAATTTTAGTACTCTTTTAATTTTTTATAATTATTGTGTTTGCGTTGATTCTTACCCAGGTTCACACCACATAACATTAATAATGCGAATTTCCAAAATAGTTTTTCATAGTAAAACCAAAGTCGTACAGCAGTGCGTATACGTAACCGGTTTTTACAGCATCTGACTTTGGCTGTGTTGAGTTTTCTATTGTAAAGGTTAAAATATTTCTACGAAATTAACATATAATTAAGAAAAACAATGCTGTAGTCAAAATTTGTCTATCTGTTACAAGTCCTAGAGTCGAAAATTTAATTCATATTTCTGCTTGTGTTATTAATGCACTACGAGTCTTATTGGAAGTTAAGATTAATTTTGTGATAAAGTTTTCTTTAAAACTGGCGGAATAATGTTTGATTTATTTTTTTACTATTTTCATAGTAAAAAGAAATCGTTTCCATAAAATAGCGGAAATTCTGTTATTTTTCTTTTTTGATTAATTAAATAAAATTAATTAATAAAAAAAATTTAAGAGCAAAATTTCTTATTACCTTACGGCCTATCGTAAATATTTAATTAATAGCGAAGTATGACATTTAATTTGAAATACACTTTGAAAACTTTGATTGAATTACATAAAGATCATTTATTTTTTAATATTAAATATTAAAGCGTTCATGATGTAAATAAATTTTATTAAATTTGTAGTTTGTTTTCTGGCATATATTTGTAATTTGTACACATTTCCCCTCATCCCTTCGACTTACCCACTGTAAATATGTACGTGCATAACAACCTTGTAATTTTCAATTTTTTTTATAACATATAATAACCG